TGGTCTCGATCTCTTGACCTCGTGATCCACCCACCTCGGCCTCCCAAAGTGCTGGGATTACAGGCTTGAGCCACCGCGCCAAGCCTGCCCTTGATTTTTTACCCAAGGTCACTAAAGCACACAGCCACAGAAAACAGCACCCGCATTTGCTATGAGGTTTCCGCCAAGACTGCTGCTCATGACTTCACATAGTACCCTATAGAGAGCACCAGCAAACGTATTTCCTGTAACACTCAGTGATGGATGGGCATAATCTAGGTGCAATCTCTAATCCCAGCTGTCACTAGCCATTTGATTTGAGCAAGTCACTTTACCTTGCTGACCCATTTCCTCATATGTAAATGATGTTTTCCACAGGTGGCTGTCATCAGGGGTTGACAGGGTAGGAGCTGGAGACATGGTAGTTATTTTGTAATGAAAAGCCTTATCTCTTTAAAAGAACTCAGCATGCTTCACCCTTTTTTGGTCATGAGAGCTGTATAGCAGACTTTTTTTTGCCTGGCTGCCAGGAAGCTCAGCTTCCCAGCAGCTCTGTTAACCCTTACAGTGAACACGTTTGCTTCCTCCTTCTTTAGAACTGGTCTTTAGTTTCTAGTTTATTAGCTTTATTGCCTCTTGCTGTGAACCATCTAAAACTCCCATTTGGAAAGAGGTAGTAAGTACCTGTAGTTAATTTTTTCCCAATGATATTCTCTCTAGGGCCAAGAGCCTGGCTGGCAGAGCTTGGGCGGGTCTGTGTTTCCATCCCCAGAAGATGCCCCATCTGCTGCCAGCCCCGGCACTGAGCCCACTGGCACCTCGGAGCCACTGGGAACAGGCACTGTGTCAGCAGAACTGTCCAGCACATGGGCTGCCGGGGACTCAGAGCGGAGTGAGTGCCCAGGTGTATGTGTGTGGCTGTGTTGGAGCAGGCACTGGGTGGGGTCAGGGCTGGGGACCATTCTACTGCCTCCCAGCAGGTACTGACGCTCTGACAGACCCAGTCACGGATCCTGGACCCAACCCCGCCTCTGACGCAGCCATATGGCGCCGCATCTTCCAGTCCTCGTACATTCGGGAGCAGTATGTGCTCACCCACTGCTCTGCCAGCCCTGAGCCAGGCCCAGGCTCCACAGGCAGCAGTGAGTCCCCCGGCTCCCAGGGCCCTGGCTCCCCGGAGGGCAGTGCTCCCCTGGACCCCCCTTCTCAGCAGGGCTGCCGCAGTCTGGCCTCAGGAGAACCTGCAGGCTCCCGTTCCTGTCCCCTGCCTGCACCCACACCAGCTCCATTCAAGGTGAGATCCAACCCTCATTCGTTCGCCTTGTATTCAGAAAATACTGATTTACCACCTGCTGTGTGCCAGACATTATGCAGAGTTTACTATTAAGTCTAGCTAGAGAGAGAGGTGGGTAAATCTCCAACCATAATACTATGTAACAACCAGCGACGAGCACAAAGACTTGTATTATGGGGACTTAGAGAGTGTGACTAACTCTGCCTGAGAGAGTCAGGAAAGTCAGAGCCACATCTGGAAGACTACGCACAGGTCAGCCATGCAGACAGGGGGAGACAGAAATGAGACACGGAGACAGGCGACAATCAGAGTGGGAAACAGGGAGGAGTGGAATGACACTGGGAGGGGCCGGGACAGAGGTCACTGTAGGCCATAGGACTGGGCCCTCCCCTCATGGTGGTGAGTGGCCACCTAGGGTTTCAGACAAGGGGCATGGGCCAGCTGTGTACCCATGTATGACGGTCAGGGGTTCTGCATCCCTTGACCAGTGGCCCCCATATCTCACATGCAGGTGGGCGCCTTGAGTGCTGAGATGCTGGGCCGGCAGCACAGAGCGGCTCTGGCTGGCCGAAGCCTCTCCTCCCCTCCAGGCCGGGCAAACCCAGTTCCCGGCCGACCCCGGAAACCCTCTCTGGGTGCAGCCCCAGATGGCCCAAGCCCAGAGTCAGGCCAACAACTGGGACAGGGCCTGGATGACTCTGGTAAGTGCTGGACGGGGAACCAGTTTCCCTGATGCCAAGGAGGCCTTGGGGAGGTGAAGCCCAGAGTACCACGCTGCCCATACCCCTGCTATCTTGCTCCCCAGGAAACCTGCTCTCTCCAGCCCCCATGGACTGGGACATGCTGATGGAGCCACCCTTCTTGTTCATGGCTGTGCCTCCCAGTGGGGAGTCGGCCCCTCCAGCAGCGCCTCCCCAGGCTCCACGCTGCCATGTGGTGATCCGGGGCCTGTGTGGGGAGCAGCCTGTGTGCTGGGAGGTGGGTGTTGGGCTGGAGACACTGTGGGGGCCTGGAGATGGCTCACAGCCTGCCTCACCTCCTGTAAGAGAAGCTGCTTGGGACCAAGCACTCCATCGGCTGACAGCAGCCTCTGTGGTCCGGGACAATGAGCAGCTGGCTCTCCGAGGAGGGGCAGAGACCACAGCTGACCGGGGTGAGTTGCTGGTGGGTCCAGTCAGGGCCCAAAGGCATGGGCAAAAAGCAGCAAAGGTAGAGCTCTGCGTGTTTGATAATTATACCTCACGTTGATCACAAAGGATTTGAGGCTCATCGCACTAACAAGATAAAAAATTAAGCAGGACAATGGGAAAAAGTAAAAATAAAAGGAAACCGAGAATGGGGGTATACACACGCACATATACACGTATGTATGTATTTTACATATATACACATACATATGTATATACATATAAAATACATGTGTGTGTGTGTGTGTGTGTGTGTGTGTGTGTATATACACTTTTTTTTTTTGTTTTTTTGAGACAAGGTCTCACTCTGTCACCCAGGCTGGAGTGCAGTGCCTCACGATCTTGGCTCATTGCAACCCCCAACTCCTGGGTTCAAGCAATTCTCCTGCCTCAGCCTCCTGAGTAGCTAGGATTACAGGCACATGCCACCACGCCCGGCTAATTTTTGTATTTTTAGTAGAGACGGGGTTTCACTATGTAGGCCAAACTCCTAACCTCGTGATCCTGCCTCGGCATCCCAAAGTGCTGGGATTATAGGCGTGAGCCACCACGCCTGGCCGCGATGAGGTTATATTAAAGGTGCATGCTGTCAGGTTCTATAATCTTACAAGACTGGGACCCAGAACTGACAAGCTTTCTAGCGGGCAGCACAGAGGGAAATGTGATCTCGTAATGATGCACAGTGCCCACAACATAAGAACAAATCTTTTGTCATTCAGGAAAAGACTTAAAGTTGAAAGTTCATTTCCTTGGTTGCCCTAGCCACATCTGAAGTACTCAGCAGTCGCATGTGACTAGTGGCTACCACAATGGATCATGAAAAGAGAACATTTCCAAGTTCCATTAGTGCAGAAACAGGTGGAGGAAAAGGTGTTGGTCAATGCTTCCTCTGGGAGGTGTCCAGAGTGCTGAACTGCTCGGCAGCCAGGGGTCCTTTGCTCTGTTGTGGACTGAAGGTTCAGCCTGGCCACTCTTGCCAAAGTTAGGGAATTTGAGCTGGTTCTGGGCCTAGCAAGGCAATCTACTGTTTAAGTTGACAGAGGGAGAAGCTGGGGAGAACACAACTTTTCCTATGAGCGCTCTGTAAAGGGCGGGTGTGGGGGTTCCACAGACCGTGCCTTGGTTCCACAGGCCACGCCCGGAAGTGCTGGCTTCGGGCCCTTCAGACAAGCAAGGTCAGCTCTGCCCCCTCCTGCTTCACTTGCCCTGTGGCCGTGGATGCTGCCACTAGGGAGGTCCTGCCTGGGGCCCTGCAGGTGTGCAGCTCAGGTAGGGGCCTATTCTGGTGACCTCTCAGGTGCAGCTCTCACCTCACTGGCCACACTCCTGGACAAACCTGACTCCTGTCCCCTGTGCCCCTGCAGAGCCAGCCGAGGCCCCCAGAACCCCTCCCGCCTCTCACAGCCGTCTAGATGCAGCTCCTCTGCCTGCTGCTGTCTGTTCTAAAGGTAACACCCAGAGGTAGGGTAAGGGCAGGGGCACCTGGCTGACTACCCGCTGGCACTGACAGTCCCCACCGCAGGACTTCAGGGAGGCTCTCCAGCCGGTGCCCGGGACTCCGACCAACATGGCAACTCCAAGTGTGCTTTGGGGGACTCTGCCGCTCCCACGGAAGGGCCTCGCCGCCCACCTCCCCATCCGCCCTCTCGGCTCAGCCTGGGCCGCGGGCGCAAACTCCGCAGCCCTGACCCAGGCCAGGCCAACAGCAGTGAAGGCAGCGACCACGACTACCTGCCCTTGGTGAGGACTCGGGAGGTGGAGGGTGGCGCCGCCCGGCCGGGCGCGGTCTCAGCACGCTTCTCCCCCCACCTCCTCTCTCCTCAGGTGCGGCTGCAGGAGGCGCCGGGCTCCTTCCGCCTGGACGCGCACTTCTGCGCCGCGGTGAGCATCTCGCAGGAACGCCTCTGCCGCGCCTCGCCCTTCGCGGTGCACCGCGCCAGCCTCAGCCCCACTTCGGCCTCGCTGCCCTGGGCACTTCTAGGCCCTGGTGTTGGCCAGGGTGACAGTGCCACGGCCTCCTGCAGCCCGTCCCCCAGCTCGGGCTCCGAAGGTCCAGGCCAGGTGGACAGTGGGCGGGGCTCAGACACAGAGGCCTCGGAGGGGGCGGAAGGACGGGGCGCCGACCTGCGGGGCCGGACCTGGGCCACTGCCGTGGCGCTGGCCTGGCTGGAGCACCGATGCGCCGCTGCCTTCGGCGAGTGGGAACTGACCGCGGCCAAGGCTGATGGCTGGCTGCGGGCCCAGCACTTGCCTGACGGTCTCGACCTGGCTGCCCTCAAGGCCGCAGCCCGGGGGCTCTTCCTGCTGCTGCGCCACTGGGACCAGAACCTGCAGCTACACCTCCTGTGCTACAGCCCGGCGAACATGTGAGGGCTGCCCGCTGTTGCTTGGGCTGGGGCCCCACCCCACACACTCAACTCACTGCCGTCCAGGGCTGGCCTCTCGGTGCTGGGAAGGGGTCGGCTGGTGCCAGCCTGTCCCCCACTGCTTCTTCCCCCCTCCCTAGAACCCCCTTACCCCCACAAAAAGTGCCTGCCTGTGCTCTCTCCTGCTCCTCCCACCCCACTACCCCTCCCCTCCATCCTCTGAGCTCCCTGCAGCACAGTGGAAGGGGAGAGAGCCACAGTCCCCAAATCCTATGCAATAAAGTGCCTCTTAGGACTGCTCGAGAGAATTCTTTATCTGCCCCATACATGCCCCTCACAGCCGGGCCCAGGCAGCAGCTGCCCCTACCTCCATGTAGGCTGCACAGAGGTTTATGTGGATGGGCACAGAGTCCATCCCCGGTCAGGTCCTGAGAGTGGCTGAGGGAAAGGGGTGCATTTCAGTGGGCTTTCTTGCTGTGTTGGGTGCTCTTGGGGAAAGGCTGCGGGCCCAGCCAGAGCTGCAGCAGGATGACGGCATGGCACACGTGCAGGGCCGCAGAGCTGCAGGACGTGGAGGGGTACGTGTTCCAGGAGAGCTCGATGAGCCCCAGCACCAACAACCTGGAGACGAGAAATGGGCTCCAGGTTCCGTCTGGCTTCAAGACCTGCAGACCTTCAGCTCCGCATGCCCCAAACACAACCGCTCAACAAGAACTCCCTGTCCCCTCCCACTCCCCCAGGTTGTCCCAGCTGGTACCTGAGCAGGTGTGTGAGCCAGCGTGCAGGCGTGGCCCACAGGAGGTAGGGCAGTGTGTGGAAATACCAGACGTAGAACTGGTAGTGGAGGGAGCGGCTGAAGCAGATGCCAATGAAGTTGGAGGTGAAGAGGGTAGAGACGATCTGTATGCCACGGTCAAGGCCAAGGGTAGGAGTGTGTGTGTGTGTGTGTGTGGGGGGGGGGTGTCCCAAAACAGAGGGGCAATTGTTTTTAAGTCACATAGCTCCCTGGCCCCGCCATTCCTAGAGGCATGCCTTTGCACAAGTTTATTAACCTCTCCAGACCTGCTCTCAGCTGAATATGGAATGTGGAGAGAGTAATACGTAGGGCCACGAGGCCTTGTGGGTTTGAACCCCTAACTTACTGGCTGTGTGACCTTGGTAAGTTACTTAACCTCATGAAGTCTTCATTTTTCCATCTGTGCAATGAGGATAGTAAGCGTAAGTGTACCTCCCTATCTCAGGGTCTCTGTGAGCTTTAAATGTTAGAACATACGTAAATTTCTTACAATAGTATCAGGAAGAGATACTCATAAGAGTAGCTCATATTTAGAATTAAGAATCAAAAATATAAAATGAAATAAAAAGAAAGCAAAAAAAAGCAAAAAAAAAATGAATCAAATATATTTCAATAGGTAAAATGCTCAGCACAGTGGTGCAGAATAGGAGTTCTATGATTGGGCTCCCCTTCCCTCGCCCAGGTCACCAGCCATCAAGGGATGCCTGACCAGGACCCTGTCAGCACCTAGAGAGGGCAAGATTTACCTTCCCACGATTTAAAGGATATGGTTGGGTGTAAGGGGCTGGGGTGGAACCTTCCTTTTGGAGGGATCCCTCAGCAGCGACAAGATACTTTCCCCTGTGCTGGGGAAAAGTCATTCAGACAGGTGTCAAGCCCCTGCTGTAAGTCAAACTCTAGACTCACCCCATGAGCTCATTAACACTTCCTCCAAGCGGCCCCTAAGGCTTAGGCCCTTCGCTCCTTCCCCCAACTCTGCCCATGGCACTGCCATCTTCTCTCACCTGTGCCACCTACAGAGAGCAAACAGCAGGAGCAGGGTGAGGTGGGCAGCCAACAGGGCCAGGTGGAAGGCTCGATGCAGGAAGAGAGCCTCTGGGAGGAAGCGCCAGTTCACTGTCCAGCGGAACAGAAACTGGCGGCCAAGGTCAAAGGATCGGGACAGGTAGCCGACGGGGTTCTTCAGCAGGAAGGGCAGCCCCAGCGCCACCTGAGGACCGGCACGATGTCAGCACAGCTACCAAGGCTCATTCCCAACGACCGGCTTTCACGCTCCTCATTGAGGGGAGCGAGCTGGGATGTAGGCTTTGGAGCTTCCCCAATTCCCACCAGAAACAGCAGAAAAAACACGCCCCCTGCCCCCACCCCAGGCCAGAGCTTGGGGCCAAAGAAGCTCAGAGGCAGGGGCTCAGAGGCAGGGGCTCAGAGGCAGGCCATAATAGTGCTTTAAGGTAGGGATTCACCAAGTGACAAATGGGCAGAGCCAGGAAGGCTCTCAGAGGCCAGGCACAGTGGCTCATGTCTGTAATCCCAGCACTTTGGGAGGCCAAAGCGGGAGAACTGCTTGAGCCCAGGAGTTTGAGAGCAGCCTGGGCAACACAGCGATAGCCCATCTCAAAACTTCAAATTAAAAAAAATAAAAAGGCTCTCAGACACCATCAAATGTAACACGCTATTTTACAGCTACGGAAACTACAGCCTAGAGATAGTGGCTTCCTAGCTCAGAATCAACTCCAATACCTTGTCTCTTGGCTTTGAGGGAGTCTCAGGGATAGATCCCCTCAATCAAGACAAGTGGCCTCTCCTTGATCAGAAAGAGGAAGGGTGAGGTGGGGGTACCTGAAGGCCAGCACAGATGCCCAGCTTGGGGAGGGCCCCACGGAAGCCAAACTGTGTGAGGAGAAGAAACAGTAATCCAGGGGCGAAGAGCAGCACATTCATCTTCACAGAGACTGCCAGGCTGGGGTGAGCAGGGGAGAGGAAGGGTGGAGATCAGCTCCAGGGCCGGGCACATCAGAGCCAAAGACATACATCCCACCGAAGGCACAGCAGCCTCCCCCCGCCACCACACCGGCTAACTCCGGGATGGGGCCTACGCTCACAACTGCTAGAGGGAAGAGCCTAGAGTGGGCAGGGGGCAGATACGTAGTCTCTATGCCTGGGCCGAGTGAGCATACACTGAGCATTCAGAACGTGAAGGACTAATTCCAACAATGAGTGCTGTCTGGAAGACAGGATGGAAAGAGGCATGTGTGTGCAGTGGGGAATGGCAGGGCAGAAGCTTTCTATAGATCCTGGACTTGGTTTACGGAGCCCTGAGGGACCCATGCTGTCTGGCTGCTCCTTTACTCCCTCTGCTGCAGAAAATTGGGAAGGGATGGCAATGCAGACGTGAAGGAGGGGGCCAGAAGGAAGGGGTGTTGACCTGAAACAGCAGCAGCCCCAGCCCCAGCGCTGGGCCAGCAGGAGGTTGATACTGAGGAAGAGCAGCACCATGGCCACTGGGTCATTGAAGAGCCGCAGCACAAAGATGGAGTGGACACGGTAAGAGGCGCAGCACATGAAGAAGAAGACGAAGGGAGGAACCTGAAGGGTAAACACAGTGAGGAGCAAGGGCAGCTCGGCAAGCCTGAGCCATCCCCACCACCCAGCCCTCCCAGGCTGGGGCCCTCTGGTAGCATGACTCACCTTGCAGGTCTGGTGATAGATCAAGAAGACAAGCAGCAAGGTGGCCAGGTAGAGCACAGCAAAGATGTGCTGGGCCATGCGGATGTCAGTGCCTTGGCCAGTGGCGTAGTATAGCCCCATAAAGATGTACACGAAACCAGCTGGGTACCTGGAAGATGAGAGGACATGTGAACCTGGGTCACACCACCCAGGCTAGTACCTTGCCAGCCCCTCACATCCTCCCTGAACTTCCTATCCCCACTCACACAAGTGGTCCAGTGTTACCCTGCAGTTGGGTATAGTCATAGGTTCCATTGATGACGCCTTCTACCTGCGCCATGTAGGCCTTCCAGTCAATCTCTGTGTCTGGAAGAAGACAAGATGATCTGGTTACTTCTGAGTCTAGAACTCTCTGCCACCCTCCCCATGCCTCCAGACCATCAAAATATAGACTTTCGGCCAATTCTCAGAGCTTCACTACCTCTGAATCTCTTTCTTTGACACTATCTGGATGGGCCCAGGCATCTCAAACTCATTTCTGTAGGGGAACTTGTGATCTTTCCTCACTCCAATCTACTGCTTCCTGGGTTCCACAAATGGCACCACGCTCTTAGCTACCAGGTCACGAACCTGAGTAACATCTTTGATACCCCCTCCTCTCTCATTTCCAACCCTTAGTCAACACGTTCGACCTGTTCTTCACTCTAAGTATCTCTATCTCATTCTCTGCTGCTACTACATACTCAAACTTGAGCATAAAGTAATCTCCAGCCTCAATGATTATACAATAGCCTACTAATTACACTCCTGCCTTCCACTTTCACCTTACTACAATATATTTTCTACCTTGCACCAAAGAGCTCTTCCCAAAATACAAATGATAACAGGTCTCTGCTTAAAACCTTTCAATGATTCCCCAAGACCCTTAAGAGACAGAAAACTCTATATTATTCCCATTTTCAGATGGGGAGCCTAAGAATTAATTAGGTTAAATGACTAGCTTAAGATAACTGAGCTAGGATGGTAAGAGATGGAATTGAAACCCTCAGGGTCCCAAGTTCTTAATTATCATGCTATCTTCTTTTTATTATTTTTTTCTTTCACTTTCTTGAGACGGAGTTTCACTCTTGTTGCCCAGGCTGGAGTGCAATGGTGCGATCTTGACTCACCGCAACCTCCGACTCCCAGGTTCAAGTGATTCTCCTGCCTCAGCCTCCCAAGTAGCTGGAATTACAGGCATGCACCACCATGCCCAGCTAATTTTGTATTTTTAATAGAGACGGTTCTCCATGTTGGTCAGGCTGGTCTGGAACTCCTGACCTGAAGTGATCCATCCACCTCAGCCTCCCAAAATGCTGGGATTATAGGCATGAACCATTGCGCTTGGCCTACCATGCTATCTTCTTAACAAAGCTTTCAAATCCCTTCATGATCTGGCCTCAATATCTGCATTCCCATCTTTTACGATTCCCTTCACCTGATTTCTACCTTGGAGCTCTAAGAAAATTATTTCAGTTCCTCAAAGGAACCAGCTTCTCTCTTTTCTTTTTTCTTTTTTGAGACAGAGTCTCACTCTGTCAC